AAGAGTGTCTATGCAATCCTCAGTCACAGGACTCACTAGTGTACTCTTCTGGTTTTGTATAGTTAGATGTATTCATCAAGTATATATATTGCTGGTTTAAATGCAATTAAACTCCTTTGAACAAATAACCTGGCTAATTGTATCAGTTTTTTAAATGTAGCCTTCCAGCAGTAGTCATAAGGGACTAACATTTCTTAAATTCATGAACACCATTATTTTTAAGTTATGGATAAATCATTTTTCCTTAAATAGTGATCTCTTCTTTGTGTTATTTTAGGTATTTCAGCTGACCATTGCCAGAGCCTCTGATTATGCATCTTATCAAAAACTGATGGATGATAGAACAGATTATGTATATACTGATACTTCCTGCAAGGTAACAGCTTGGTAAGAGTATTATTTATAGACTATACTTCCCCCATGCAGCCCTACAAGCCAAATTACTGAAAAGCTGAAGAAACTGTCAGAAGGCTTATAAGTGTGTGCATGCAGATGTGTAGACACAAGTACCCTAGATATACTTTAATCATTGCACAATAAAACTTGTGCTTCACTCAGATCGGTTAACAGAAAACTTAGAGCAGCAGGTATTAGTAGCGTGGGTCAAGCTATTCAGAGCATATATCCAAGTTCCCACATTCAAAATGAGAACGTGACAAGGCTAGATGTATAATGTTGAATATATTTAATTTTAGCTATTAGGTGACTACACGTGACAGTAAGGATTGCCCTGTATTTCTGTACTTTGAAAGTATGTAAGTTAGACAGTGTGACAACACAATGTAATTATCTATATTCTAATCAGACATACCTTTGAAAATATCAATTTCTGACTGTATATAAAAAATTGTATATTGGCAGTTTCAGGCAACTAACACAATCATGTGCTGGATATTAAAATCAGACATCAGAATTTATAGCTATATCTGAAGGTATCTTATTAATTTTCTCCTCAATCACTCAGTAATTTGACATAATCATTGCCAAGGTTATTAAAAACAAACAAAAAACCCACTGACTGTATTTATTCCAATATAATTTTAGAAGAAAAAAGAAAGTGCTTGCCATAAATAATTATATTAGGGCATGAACAGGGCAGGCACCGTCTCTAAAACTCCATAATTTCTTTTTCAGAGGTTGAATTTCCTAAATTTGGAAGCCTGCACTTTGTACCAGTCATGCAAACAGATCTAGGACTCTTAACTTACAGTTTTTTGATATATAAGAAAAATATTGGGCTGGAGGGTGAACTGGATTTCACATAACAGAAAGAGATAAGGGGAATATAGCAAGTATGAAGTTGTGATTTTGGAAAGAAATTTTAGAGGACTGAAAGTGCAACAGAAAAATAACAGTAGATTCTTGAAGATAAATATGAAAATAAGCAAGGAGGACTAGCCCATGGCACAGTCAGAGTGAAGCTGTTCATGATATTACTACACAGATTCACTCAGTAGGTTTGATTGAAGTAGTTGAAGTCAAGAGAAGTCACTCCACTGACACCAGTAGGCTTCATTCAGGCCACTACATGCAGTCCTTCTGATCCCTCTTCCTTTAATCTAGGCTGAGAATCTTCCCCATTTCACTGAACAGTACTGTTTCCCATTTCTCTAAGAATCTGTGTCTGTACCCACCCCCCAGAGTTTTTTTTAACCAGTCGCATCTATGCCTGCCTCAAACCAATAAAATTTACAGAGCCTCTGAACCCCTGTTGGAACGGGCAGGAGCAAAGTCCGTCGAGTATATTAGTGCTAATGGGAAGGCAGTGGATTGAGGAGAGGCTCGGGAACTCTGGGACCATTAGAGTAATTGCAAGCAGTGAAAACATACACACACAGCTAAAACGTAAGGGAAATTATTTACTTTTGCTTATTTAAGCTGTGCATAGGGAGTACGAAGCTTTTTCATGCAAATTATTTACAGCCCAAATATAGCATAAGGCACGTTAAACATTGAAGCACAGGTCCAAATGTTACTATCTAGTGTTCAGACCTCATGGCTAGTCAGAATATCTGCCAACAGAACATTTTCAAAAGCAAACTCTACCCTCATGGAGCCTGCCATTACTGGATTTAAGTATTTACTATGCTTTGAACTACTGCTTTAACATTTTTTTCTGGTGTGTATGTGACAATGTTGACAGGAGTTTCCATCAGTTCAGGATACTAACTAGAGAGACTAAAACATTATCAGACTATGTCGGCCAAATGTTTGAAAGCAAGAAATCTCCCATTGCTTCAATTTCCTTCAAATACTTAATATTTTCCTTTGGGGAAGTAACTTGTGTTTTATCATAATGATTTCTATTTGCTTCTGGAGCATGAGTCATGCTCTTCAATTATTTTCAGTTGATTGTGTAATTATCAGTGAGAATGGGGTTTGGCTAGTCTTCATTCAGTTTGGAGGTTTTTAATAAGAATTTCTGCTTACCTTCAGGTGAAGTACCTGGCTTTTGAGAAAATGCAGAGCTTATTTTACTCTTCTTGCTGCTGTTGCTGTTGACAGACAAGGTGGACTGAATTTTTCTGTGCATTTTTTCTGAAACAGGAGCTGAAAGTTTTCTGTTGTCTGCAGGTGCGTGCTTGACCCCGTTGTGAATTCCACTTCCATTACTCAGACCCGCGTGGCCATTTTGGATTTTGCCACTTTCTTCCTCACCCCTTTCCAGTGCTGAAGTATTTGGCTGAGGCAAACGTTGAGGTTGTGCTTAAAATGAAAGAAAGAAAGGGTTAATTTAAATCGTAAATTGAAAACTGAACACTTTAGGCTAGCCTGGGAAGGCAACTTTCATTGCTCGTATTGGTCAAAGAATAGACTGAAAAGTTAACATTCCCCCATCAAAAAAAGAAAGCAAAAAATATCTCCAGATTAAAAATAATTATTAGGTATTCAGAAAGCACCTCATGTCTGTATGAGATCTAGATTCCCCCTTTGTCACTGCAGGGAAACGTTCGCAATGCTCTATGAATTAGATGGAGAGAATAAGGCAAGTAATTTGAAGAAGGAATAAATTAGGAAGGGAGAGAAAGTAGCAAAACTGAGATAAACTTGGGTTAAGGGAGCCAAATGAAGAATGGGGGGAAATGCAACAGAAGGAGAGAAAAAGGTGTGGGAGAGAAGATACAGACTGCAGTAACCGAAGTGAAGCTGCAGGTTGGCCAACCTGCCAGTCTTCAGAAAATAACCTGAGTGACAAGGTAGGGGCCCCCTGACAATGAGCCACCACAGACCAGTATATTAGAGAAGAACAGGAGTATCCAGGTAACTAACAACAGTTTGAGCTTAAATTCATAAAGATTGTGGATTGCTGGGAAGAATAAAACCAATCAAAATCTGGTTTTGTGGAGGAGGTGATCCAGTAACCAGAAGGAACATGCATTCAAACACCGCACAGCTGTGGCAAGCCAGAGTCCTCCCCCGCCCATATTCCTCAATTCAGAATCACAATTTTAAAAATGGCTGTAATGGGCCAGTTAGGGCTTTAACGCAACAAACTGAAATGGCCAAAGGAAAAAAACCACAAAACCTGTCACGGCAGGAATCTCCAGTGGCCTGGTTGGGACCTCAAGAGTACATTCTAATAAGAGGGCACGAAACTGGACCATTCTTTGTTGAGTTACAGTATCATAAAGGAATGTATTTTTAATAACATGGAAAATACATTGTCTATGTATTTGAAGTCTGTATCTAAAGAAACAAAAAGATGCAGGATTTTTTTTTTTTTATGTAAAGCTTTGTAATTAAAAAAGTAGTTTCCAGTTAAAGATTCTTATTTAGAAAAAAATGCAGACTTCGTTCAAAAACTAATTAAACTATACACATAATAACACAACAAGATTTCATAATCAAAAAGCATCAGCCCAATCACCTCTCCTAATCAAAACACTACCGTATCATGCTTGGACATAAAGAGGTTTTCAGACAGTCCAATCTTCAACTATTTATAAATCTAATGACAAGGAAAAAGCCCAGCTTCTACTGAACACTCAACTGAAGAGAGATTAGACAGTGCCAGCAGTAAAGAAAAACTGCTGCAGTTCATTCTCTTTTCAGATGATTCATATCCATTTTTAGATGATTTCATACTATAGCTTCGTATGTAGATTACACTGTGTCCAAGAAAACAATATGTATAGATAATTATAATTAGCTTCCTCTAAAAGAAACATCTCCACTGATCACTTCAGTGGCCAAACATTGTGACAAATACTACTGAGACACACAGACCAACATGGTCTCTAAAAAGACTCTCAGTTCTGAATTTTTCTAACAAACCCTCAATGCTTCCCTTTTATCAAGGACACTGATACCATTCTCAAATTGCTTCCTCCAACTATCATAAACTTGTCCAGATTAAACTTCAGATAAACCTTAAACTTTAACTCCTGGTCATGTTCACAGGTAAAAAGAGATACTTTTCATAATAGTTTAAACATGAACTGGTTCATTTTTTCTTGCCATTTGATTTTTTTAGTCACAGCAACTGAGATTTTAAGAAGATACCCTAGACTACCCACATCTATCTAGGTCAGAGCAACCCTGATTGAACCCACTTTACAAAAGTGACAATTTTGTGTTGCAGGAAAGGGAGGGCTGGAGGCTGCTTTAGCCTCCTCAAAGATGTTGCAGGGAAGACAGAGATCATTCCCTTCCATTACCAGCAGTAACTGCTCAAAAACCTCCAAGCCAACAGAGCAGGAGCACAACGCCATCTGACACCTGAACAACTGTTGCCCAGGAAGGTTTCGTTGGCAATACAGAAACTGCTTCTCCTTTCAGTTTTGATGAGTGCTTGCAAAGCCTATGAACAGAAGCATAAGCAAGGCACTTTTTGCACTCTGGAATTCCATTTGTAGCATATATTCTGCTGACATTTCCAGGCTATCATAAAAGCCCCCAAACAAGTTTTTAGGGAGTTTTCTCCTACCTGAAAAAGGATTCTTCAAAAGTATACTACCAGGAACCCTTTGTGCAGGGCATCTTTCCACATATGTGCAAAACAAATTTGTTAAAAAACTAATCAAATCCTTCCATATTAAAAATAGTCAATGTAGACCTAACTACAGTCAAAAATAAAACCTTTAGCAACAACAGGAATCAAAATTTTTACTCTCTAACGTTCAGCGTTCATACCCATAGCTCCCCATAGCTTTATTTTCATTATCCCACTCAAATGTAAATTGTACTATTAAGAACAGTGTTTTTCACGTTCCACGCAACCATGTTTCCTCACACTGTGCCACTGCCTACAATTGCCAACTGTGGAGTGGTGCAGTTGCACCAATAACCTAGAAATACTGGGGAGGGGTTAACCTTCCTCAATAAATAAAAGCAACAAACTATACTACAAATTCTGGATGTCTGGACATGCAACTTTCTAAAACTGAGAGTTATGACTTTTTCCAAGCCAGCTAAATTGGTGGTGGTAGCTTACAACTGTTTGTATATTTTTGGTGCTTTGCTACAATACAGTAACTTGACAAATTATCCAAAATTCCATCTTCAAAATCAGGTTGTTTCTGTCAAACTGTGCGTGAATGGGAAGCCTTGGGGAATCTAAACAGTCATTTGTGTTTACTTTTATTATTATTTTTACTAAGGTTTTTTGGGGGGTTTTTTGGTTGGTTTGTTTTTTTTTTTTTAATAATCCTGTTCCCAAAGTACTCTTACTTCAGCCTTTTAGCATTAACATACAACTTTTTAGCTGACTGGCTTTACAGTATTCACATGTGATATGCAGGTCAAATCAAAATGGAATAAAACCCCAAATGGATTAGTTATCTCAATTTAAATTTATTTTAACTTTATTGATAATTTTGCACTAGGGAGAGTTGAATCTTATGGTTAAAACACACTTGAAACCAATTAGGAACCATATGACCGCATTCTAGCATAAAGAACAAAAGCAATTGACAGTTCCAAGATTAAGCCACAACCACTCAGTTTAAAACAGAAATATTTTTACCTTATTTTTTAAAGGTTGTGTATATCTTAAAAAAAAAGGTGTAATATGGGGAACGACACAATGCTTCTTAAAACACAGTGATACCCAGGGACTCTCACTCTCTCTTTAATGATCCACTGCTCTCATTCAGCTGTCTTTCTTTTTTCAAATCTTTACATATGTGACAGCTCTCAAAAGTAGACCATAGACCATCTGGCATTTTCAGAGGTGTAACTTGTGCAAATTCAGCTCTACTGGGAACACAATGCTATCTTCTGCCTGCGTTATAAAAGATACAATAGAATGTAGAACTTATGAGTTGTTTTGAATTATTCATTTTTTGCCTGTATATTCAAGAAATTTTACAAACTCTGCATTTTGTACTACATAATCACATGCGTTAAAGGTACAAAGAAACTTTTTGACACCTCTTTTCTACAGAAAGATGGCATTTTGTTTGATATGTGAACATTCAGCGCCTGTTATATCATTCTAAACAGGCCGTGTGCTGCTACAAAAGATCCCATTTTACACTCTATGTATGAGCAAAAATTTTATTCTTGATATTCAGTAACTAACGCAATACACATCAAAATTTCAAATATGAGTTGGATGAACATTCAGCATCTCCAAATCAGGATGGTACTGGTCACCTACTATATGTTAAAGATTTAAAAAAAGTAAATCATTCCTCACACAACATAGAAACATTGTCATTTCAAACATCCACAATGAATAGTTTCAAATGTCCTAAGAAATACTGTGCTTTTTAGGTTAATATGTTTTTAATCTTTAGCAAAACCAGTAGATTTAAGTCAATATTTTATACAGTGCTAACACTAGTGGATTTTCAATAAGAATGATAAATATTGGATTAATGATTCAATAGACTGAATCTTTTTTGATAGAAAGCTAGTAGATAATGTAGCTAGTAATAACTATACATGAATCTGCTGCCTGTGGAAAAGCAATAAAAAGGCAATATATTGCTATAGCATATAATCTATTAGCGTGTTTCACTGCTTCCTTGTCATTGGTTTCCCTGCAAAGTGGGCCTTAATACAATAAGTTCTGCTGTTATTTAACTGACTTTGCCTAATAATTTAATTGTGAGGTTACTATCTGGTGAATAAATATTCGAGTACTAAACATTTACTACGGTTTTGATGGTTTTGAAGTAACTACGCATGTTCTCATTCAGACTGTAACATCCTTAGCACAGTTTAAACGAATATGTACGTATATATGCACACTGACAATATATTGTTTACACCTTGCAAAATAACAGCTATTCTTAGGAGGAAAATCCTGATGGATGCATTTAACAGAAAAATGTATGTCAACACAGGGAAACTCTCAAACAAAAGAGGACAGTCTAAGCTATCATTAGGGATTTTAGACAAAACACAAAAACAAACATACACGGAATACAGACTCCTCGGAGTCAAAGTGAATCAAAAGAAAACATCAGGAGGGAGAGCAGGATTGAGACAGCTAATTAGTAGCCTAATCACATCAAAAGCAATTCCAAGGCAGCTTATACAGATGCCCGTGGAGTTTGGTAGGCTGACCAATGCCACTGATGGAAAAAATACTTTCCAGTTTACAGCCTGGGTCATCTGACTGCATTCCCAGAGAGGTAAGAATGCTGTTTTTCTTTGTTTATGACACAACAGTTTACGACATCAGATCAGGCCACAGAAGCACTATTTTTGCAGGTGGACTAGGAAGGAATAAAAATGCATGACTCTGGGGTGTAAAAAAAATACAACCTTTGGGGTTTTCAAATACTGAGAAAATATAAAGTATCCCTTCAAACATCCTCCACACTTGTCTCCCTCCCAAAACAGTTGCAACGACAAAAAGAGGATGAGCTCTTTTTAGGAAATACAGAGGTCCTGCTTGGGTCCATTAATATTGAAAGCCAAGATCTACATGGTAATTTCAGCTGGGGAAATTGTTTGATCTCAGTGGTAGCTGCTCCTACTCCTTCTGCATGGATCACACAGAAGAGACCACATGCAAGGGAGGTAAGAATCAGGCCTCTGTTTTTTGTCAGTACTTCTTTGTAACACAGACCTAAGCTTGAGGGGAAAAATAAAGCATATGACAGATAGTCATGGATTGCACAGTAAAACCAGGGGCCGTCTGAATTCTGGAGTAAAATTAAGGTGATTCCAAATTGCTTCTGGAAAAGACATAAATTCCTGAGATATAAAAGGCAACATTTCTAACTGACTAGCAAAAAATCTTACCTTTTCAAAAATATTACAAATTGTATGCATTCACACGCTCAATAAGCATAAAATTTCAGTGAAGCTGGGAGAACTCAAATATCTCAATCTCTCTCCCTCCCCACTTTTCTAAGTAAAATCCTGACTAGTCTTTACATGGATCTTCAAACTACATCAATAGTTTTCTCTGCCTAGCTATCCAGAATATTAACATTCAGATTACAAGATGTACCTCTGAGTCAACCTGTGAAGTGGCTTTTGTCAGCAATTATTTTTGAATATTTTCTAGGACATAAATAGCATATACTGCAGCTTCCATATCACAGAAGGCATACATTAACTAAATAACAAGGTACCATCAAGGTACAATCTATCTTTTAAAATCAATTTTTTACACTGAATTTTTTATACCATGCTGACTTTACAAGGAAAACAAAGTACCAACTAACAGCATCAACCACCTTTTTAGAATCGCTTCTTGTAAGACATGAGGACATCTTCAAAATGAATACAATATATTATTATGAAACAGGATGTCCTTTGTAATGAAAATACTGTAGTAAAATTGCTGGTACGAGTTTTACAGGACCCACACTGAGAACACTTTGTTAAAATACGTCTGAGAACACACCCAGGGAACACCAGGTATAACAGAAATGGGGCTGGCAGGGGACAAAGGGAAAAGACATTTTATCCCATCAGCTCTCAGTCGGTGAAGGGCTGATGAGAATGGCAAACGCATGTGTGCATGTGTGTTTATGGGTTGAAAAGGCGACACAAGTGCACGAGAAGGTGCCAAGAGTACTCTTAAATCTGTGCAAAGACACCTGCAGTGCCTTCCTTTGGAAGCACTGCAGGACCTTACACACTGTTTGAAGGGTTGCAGAAATTGTATAAAGATGTCTTTGACACCCAGAAAGAAGCAGTTACCACAGGGAAGCATGAAAAGGGCTGGTAGCCAGAGGTTTACAAACTTGATAGGCATTCCCAGTGAAAATGTGGAGTGAATTTCTCTATTTACAAATCCTCTTTCCTGATGTGTTTTTTCAAAATGAAGAAATGCCTGCCGATTTTTTTAATGACAGCAACAGCAAATTTTTAATCATTGCTGAACTGAGTAAACCCTTAACATTTTTAATTACCTATCTTTTAACAATTATCTCAAAATCCAAATATCTTTTTGTCTTCTAATTACCATTAGATTATCAGTAAATTCTCCTTCTTTATCATACACAAATCTTGCAATCATTAGGAATGTTTTTTGTGAGACTGAAAATATTGGCATCTATGATAAACTTTGAAAGATTTGAAAATTCTTGCTAGATCACAATATAGTTAGGAATAAAGATGATTCACATAATGCAATGATTGCAAAGCTACATCTACATGAAGTGACATATAGTTCCTACTGTAGCATATAGTTCTTCATTTCTTGAGAACAAGCAGCAGTAGCTCGCCATGAAATATCCAAGAGAAGAGGCAAACACAAAACAGGACATTGTAGGTTACAAGCATTCAGACACCTGGGGAATAAATTTCTGTATAAAGCTGTGTTCAAAAGTGGGAAATTTTACTCCAAGCTTTCCAGTTGCAACATTTAGCTATCCATTTTTCTCCTCATACATTCTGCTAGAGGACTGGAAAAGAACTGCAGTCTATTTGCTCTTATGTTTCATAGCATTACAACTACTTACAGCAGTGGCAATTGTTGCACAGACATGTGCAATGGCAGGTTAACTCATGGTCACCATTCCAACATTTCATGGTGTTTTACACATTAATCAACTACTACTGAAGGTGATATTTTTTTTTTTATTTAAGGCCAAACACCTAGTTATTTCTTCCTATGTGTTCTACATAGGTAACTTGTTAAGAGGCATAATGATCTACTTAGTTTGTGTTGCTGCTGTTGTTATTGTTAAGTCTTTCTTTATAATGCACCACGGCTTGTAGAAATTGGATATGAGAACAAAATAAAATAAAAATTAAAAATCAGAGAATTAGGCTTTTTGTTAATTTCTAAAGTGTTGAAAGTGATGTATTTCTGAAACACAAATAATCAGTAATTTAGTATACATGAACACAGTCCCCAAAACTATAAAGGATACAAAGGGGTGCCAACCCAATACAATCCCATCTCACCAAAGAACAGAATGCTTTGCTTCTGCAGCTTTAATTTTAAACGGAAGGTTAATTAACCACTAGACTCAAAAGCTAGTTGGCATGACAATTACAGCAGTTATGCAATTAGTACTTATTACAACATATGATTATACACTGCATATGGACACACTGGTGTCCCATGGAACGTAAGACATTAAGTCAAATATTCAGTACAGTTTTGATGCCCCTCACCATTGTGTTACTTGTTCCCAAATCAAATAATAAACATCAAAGAGAAGCTACAAACAACAGGATATCGCTTGCTGGGTATTGCCTCATAAGCAGCAGAGCAGGATGTACCAGACAGGAGAGATAACCTCAATGTCATTAACGGCCGTAAACCTGGGCAAGTGCACAAACAGGTCCTCTTGGCTCCACCACCTCCTGCTCCCTTCCTCAAAACCCCAACAACGACTGACAAACTAGACAATGTTTCATTGCAAGAAAAAAAACATGGGATGGTGAGGCAAATAGCTTTTCAGCCTAGCCCTAGCCATTCGCCTTTGAGTAAGAAAATACTCAAAGGTCAGGTTTATTCTCCACTGACCATATATACTGAGTTTTCAGGTGACAAGATTACAGTGTTCAGTTAAACTCATACAAATATACCCAAAAACTGGCTGTACTTGGTTTTAAAAAGAACATGAAGGCAAATGCTTGGAATGAGCAATTCCCTTAATGCTCACTGCTCCCTTGATTTCTAGTCCTCCACTCATGTAAGTGACAGAATTTCAGAAGACTCCAAAAAGTGTTCCACCTCAAGTGTGAATCTGACCCCCTCCTCTTAGTGCTGTCTTTTGTCATCTCTGTAATTCTAAATATTACCCAATGCTACTACTAACAAAACTAACTAGATGCAGAAAGAAAAAATAGGAGTAAAAACAGGACAGCAACAAAGAGAGGGTAATGTAAAAAGGTAGTGGGAAAACACACAGAGTATCAGTACAAAAATAGTAATGCACACATTGATATCTGAATTTCTGACCCCTTTGCTGCACTTATTTTCTCTCTGCTATTCTTTCTAGCAGCCTAGAGCTGATGCTAAGTTTGGCATCAGCTGATACCAAGTACCAGAAAACCAAAGGAAGAAAGAGAAAGCACAGCTGCAAGGAAAATGGAAAAGGAGAAGCGAATGGGCAGTAACCATGAGGGACAGGCTAAAACTTGGGATTTTACATTATTAAAACAATAGTAGGGCAAAAACATCAAAAGAAAAAAGAGCAGATAGCAACCACCCAGAAGAAGACAGCGCTGGAGGGGAAGGAGACAGAAAGGGAAAAAATACATAGTGAGCTGAGCCACTTCACTCTGTGAGGGCAGAAAAGAGTAGGGAAGAAGAAACAAAAAAAAATCACAAGTAAAATCCCACTAGAGCTGAAGTATTTGGTACAAATTTTACAAGTGAGAAAAGAATTAAATGATAAATCATTAGTTGATAAGCAATGAAATAAAATGAAGATAAATACATCATACTTGCACAGTGATCTAGAGTTGAAGCAATAGTTCCCCTTCCGCTTGAGGTCAGAGAGGCTCCTGGAGCCCAGGCCAAAAATCAGCTACATTCAGCAACAGTGACATGATGGAAAATGGAAATTCTGTGGCAGAAAGCAGGGAGAGGACTTGAGGTCCACAACAATACTCCTCATGGCCCAGCTTGTCCTTACTACAGACCAGACGACAGTTAATAGAGTGATGGTCAGTGGGAAAACAGAAATGGAAATGTAGTGGAGAGCGCAGCAAGTATCCATCTATTTCCCAATCTTGAAAAACCAAAGTGTGAGGAGAAAGAGAAGCACCATGTATCTGCATGGACAACATTAAACACACTGAGAATGGTTAGTCTCTGCTACGGATGCCCTTGGGCTACAGGAATTCCCCCAGGGCAAGCAGGGTCTAGGAGATGGGCAGAGGACCCCTGTCACCCATCCCACCTGGCCGCTTGCCCGCGGGCAGGATGAGCGGGGCCTCCCCATCCTGAAGCACTCCAGGGACCCCAGGGCACCAAAGGATTTTGAGTCACACACAGAAAGTCCAGGCAGAGCTGCCATAGGACTAGATGACTTTTAAAGGTCCCTTCTAACCCAAACTATTCTATAACCAAAGCTGGCTCTTGGACTGCTTTATGCCAGTAACGCACCAGCTTGGCATCACCATGATCCAGAAATGAGAGCTCTTTTTATTTTTTTAAGCAATTGTTTTGGTGTGCCTCGAAGAGTTATAGCAAAATCTCACCCAAAATGTTTTTGTGCAAGCTGTAAAAATCAGATTCTTGAGAATACACCTTGAAAAGTCCTCTGATGAGAGTCCTTGGAAAGCCTAAATTCTCCTTTTCTTTCCCCCTCACACCCTGAACCAGACTCAAAACTGCAAGCAGCCATGGAATAAAGGCTGCATCTCTAAATCAGAGCTCACTGCCCTTTCCCTCCCCTACCCCACAGGCAATTTAACTTTGTTTTACACTAAAACAGCAGTTTCAGATGCTGAAGGGAAAGGCAATGATGTATTTCAGAAAGTAAAAATTTATCAGCTAAGAGATTTGTGTGTTCAATTCAAAGCTGAATGTGCTTAACACGTAATCATTGTCACCAATACTTTGCACAAAGGAAAATGTTTAATTTTACTTACTTCTTATTTACCGCATTCTACCAAAATTATGTGGGAAGTCCTCTTTCTGACTCAGCTGGACAAACCCACCCATCCTGGCCAAGCTTTCCTACCCGACCTCATTATATGAATTCAATATAGTAAAACAAAACATGCTAAATGAGTTTTTGCCTGCTGCTCATGCACACATCCCTTAGAGCAGTGCAAAAGTCAGATTGCTGATTGTGCCTGGTGAAGACCAAACTTCCTGGAAAAATGATGCACTTAGTTTCCTGAAAGGAAGCAAAGCATAAGCTGCTCAAACAATTCACAAGAAAGCTCTGGTATCTAAGCCACACGGTTATAAATCCGTCCTACTAGAAAAACACAGTATCACATCAGTGACCCACAGCTACAAGCACAAAAATTCAGAGAAACAAACACATTAACGCAAAGAAGAATGTACCAGATTATCTGAAGAAACAGGTAAATTGTCTTAACAGGATGAAATTACCCATACAACTTTTTTCTTTCATCACACAACTGAGCTAAAATTCTGATTCTCCACTCCGTTCATGAAATGAATTACAAATCTCTATGGAATTATTATGCTCAAACTATTTCAATATAGTAGAGACCAGTAGCACCTGCAAGTCCTTATACTGCAGAACTGACTGAATAGCAGCAGAATACTGTTTTTTCTCTCTAACATACAGAAAGGGAGTATTGTTATTTCAACATGTTTAAAAGCAATCATTCCCTATTAAAAATAGAAAAAATATTTCTTTCAACTTATAAAACTACATAATTTGGCCCACTCAAGTTTATTTAGTTCACCTATTATTTAAAAATACTTAAGTAGCATTTAAATTTGGACGAGGCTCATGCTTTGAATCAATGCTTCTTGCAACAAGGATCTTTTTTCTGAAAACCTTTTGTTTCGTCTTATTTAGAAGACATACTTCCCTTTATTTGAGGGAAAAAGAAAATCCTTCCGCACACTAATCACAATTACTTTTTTCCTAAATGGAGTGCAGATACGGCAGTGAAATCTGTGCTATGTCAGTGTTATTCACATAACTGAAAACTGTCCATTTTTACATTTTAAAACACTTTGTTACAAGGTTTTGCAAATAAGCTGAAGGATTTCACAGGAAAGAAACAGCATTTTAAGTGAAAGCATTAGAATTTACAGTTAGGTTCATTTTTTTGTCCTTTTACAATTCAAGAGCTTTGAAAAGTCACAGCTGAGACAGCAACCCCCTCTTACCCAAAAAGACCCAAAGTACAGCAGCAACCCTTGTCTCATAGCAAAGATAGCAACCACATCACACGCAAACAGCCTTCCTTCGCTGCTTACACAAGCCTTCGGCCCCACGAAAACATTCATGTCATCATCAGCAACAGCAGCTCGACCAGGCTGGTGATGGGTGAGCCAAACTGCAGCCTCCATCCCTTTATGCTGTGCAGCTGTTTCGTGCTTGGGAAACATCTCATCCTCCCTTCTTGCATTTCTTGGCCCCAAACAGAAAAGCTCTTAGGAAACCATTCAAACAACTGCCAAAAGGACAGAACTGCACTGATTTTGATACACCCTTATCCACTCTACTAAAGATTCATGCCATCTGCCATTTTATTTGCACTGCTGCCATAGCCCTGCCCTTGGAATTAATTCCAGCACCCTTTTCTTTACTCTTCCTTCAGCATAACTAGCTACATTTTATCATGCCGTATCACTTTCTTAGGCTGCTGGAATTAACAACTCACAATGGGAACATCTCCCTGCCATCTTAATTTAATTAGTGTTATGTTAATTTAGACAAAATTCCTTGTTTCTGTACAGTGTGGTACTGCCAAGCCAAACTACTCAAAAACCATCGATCACTTTATTTTTAAATATATCCTTTCTATTGGCATTCTCAGTTTCGAGACTTTAACTTTCAGCTTTTGTCAGTAGTTACAAACTAAGACCAGGTTAATTTGTTGTTTATTTTATGAAAATTTAAATCTGACATAACTACATAGACTCCAGAAGCTGATATTTTCATAGTCTGTTGTGATATTTAACAGAGTTGTTTTTTTCTTGAATGCACAGTACCTTTTCATAATGTTTAATTTACTGTTAATTCTCCAATAGTCAAAATATTAATTCTAATAAGAAGGTTCATTGCTACTTAGAAAATAGCTTAAATGTTGATGTTAACTCACTGATGCTGAAGTGAACAGGCCTTTACACTGAAGCCCTTTAAAAACATTTCCAGTCACCCTCTAAGCACAACCTTCCTGTCACTGCTTAGAGATATGTAACTGTAATAGAGAAAGAAGTGGAGAAACAGGAAAAAGGATTGTTAAAACAAACAAACAACAAAAAGAGGGTAAGGGGGGGACAAGAGAAAATTATGCAAACAGAAAAGAGAAAAATGGCTTAAAGACAGTAACTATAATAGGGATGGGTCAGTCTTTTCTCTCCTTTTTTACTTTATAAAATAAATATGGGAAAGAGGACACAGCACAATTTACTAAGAATGAGAACAAACCTTCAGCACTCCAACTTTGACTCCACCACGATAGCCACCACTCCTTTTTCTACCATATCACCAATCCATATCCTTTACTTTCTTCCAAAATTACCATAATTCCTAAAGGACTTTTTTTTTAATAATCAATCCCCTGAAATGCCATTCCGTTTTAGTCACTGTGAAACGGATTTCCAACTCTAAGTTTAAATTTTGAGAGCAAAGTGGATCGTTCCACAGGAACCTTCCCTGTGCTAATCAAACAGGTCTTCTCTCCTTTTCCATAAGGACCTGTTCCACAAATATCCAACAAAATATTGATAATGAGCGCTAAACTTCTTGCCCTATTCCACCTATCCCAGTAGAATCCCTGTTGCAGATGCAGACATGCTAACGAAAGAAAGCTTTTGCCAGGTTATTTCTGTTGTTCAAGGAGGCAGCACAGCACAGCAAATGAGGTCTCTCTGTTAGGCTGTTCTTCTCACAGAGCTAGAGTAGCGGATGCTCTGTAATACACAAATGGTCAAAACCAAACCATGATTTATTTAAAATTAAGACTTATCAATTA